CAAGAACAGCCAGTGCAAAGGCCCTGAGGCAGGAACATGCCTGGCATATTCAAGGAACAGTAAAAAAGCCAATGGGGCTAAAATAAAGAGAAAAAGGAGAGATGAGAGCAGGAAGGTGATAATGACAGGTCTTATGGTCTTCTGAAGTGGTAAAATGACCTATTCAGTTTTGGCGTTTTTTTTCTTTTCTTTTTTTTTTTTTTTTTTTTTTGAGACAGGGTCTCGTTCTGTTCCCTGGTCTAGAGTTCAGTAGCATCATCATAGCTCACTGCAGCCTCCAACTCCTAGATTCAAATGATCCTCCTGCTTCAGCCTCCAGAGTAGCTGGGACTACAGCCTCGAGCTACCAGGCCCAGCTACATTTTCTATTTTCACGTAGAGACGGGATCTCGCTCATACTCAGGCTGCTCTCAAACTCCTGAGCTCAAGCCATCCTCCCTCCTCGGCCTCCCAGAATGCTAGGATTACAGACGTGAGCCACCACGCCCAGCCTAGTTCTATTTTTCTGATAGACAGTTGTAGCCATCAGTGGTTAGAAGCGGGCGGGGCAGGGGGGATTAGCCACATCCTCCTACCCCCGAGCCAGGCTACAATAAACGGAAGTCTCCATGCGTGGGTAACAGAATGAGACTCTGTCTCAAAAAGAAGAAAAAAGGAAGTTTCACCACATTCTCCAGTGTGCCAGTAATTTATTAAACAAACATTTATTACCGAGTAGGCTCAACACATCCTAATCATAAAACGTGTTCTGTAAACTCAGCAAAGTCCCAGCTTTCTGTCCTTCTAAGGACTCTGGCAGTACCTTGAATCAAGAGTTCCCTTGGGGCAGATGCCACCACACTCCAGGGGCAGGATTCTGTGCTATTAATATTGTAGTTGGTGTCAGGCAACCAGAACCTTTCAACCCAGTGATTCTGAAAGCGTGGTGCCCAAACCAGCAACAGCATCATCACCTGGGAACAGGCTAGAAATGAAAATCCTCAGACAGAATGATTTGACATTCTGAGGGTGGGGCCCAGCACTGTGTGTTATAATGAACCCTCCAGGGTCCATATGACCTAAGCTCCAGTGGAGAAATACTCTTGTAAAAAAAAATGGCAGAGGCCGGGCGAGGTGGCTCTGGCCTGTAATCCTAGCACTCTGGGAGGCCAAGGTGGGAGGATCACTTGAGGTCAGGAGTTCGAGATCAGTCGGAGCAAGAGCGAGACCCCTGTCTCTACTAAAAATAGCAAAAATTATCGTGGTGGTGCGCACATGTAGTCCCAGCTACTCGGGAGGCTGAGGCAGGAGGATCGCTTGAGCCCAGGAGTTGGAGGTTGCTGTGAGCTAGGCTGACGCCACGGCACTCTAGCCCAGACAGCAGAGTGAAACTCTATCTCAAAAAGAAAAGAAAGAAAGAAAGAAAAAGAAAAATGTCTGGTTTGATCAGAGATAAAGACACCTGAAGTATTAATATTTGTAGTGGCCGTCTCTTAACTGTGGTATTTCTGATTCGAGCTAATCAGACCTAGAGTGTGAAGTCCTAATTAAGACAATGGCTTACCCCAGCATAGCTTAAACCAATACACATAAGAATACACTGTTGGCTGGGCACAGTGGCTCATGCCTATACTCCCAGCTACTCGAGAGGCTGAGGCAGGAGGATCCCTTGAGCCCAGGAGTTAGAGGTTGCTGTGAGCTATGATGACACCACAGCACTCTAACCTGCACAACAGAGTGAGACCCTGCCCCAAAAAAAGAGGGGGACTGACTCTCCCTCCTCACTCCCCACTTCATATTAAAAAAATTTCATAAAAATTTGTAAAAAATAATACACTGTCCTCCCAGCAGCATTATTCAGAATAGCCAAAAGGTGGAAACAATTCAGCTGCCCATCAGTGGGTGAATGGATAAACAGAATGTGGTATGTCCATACAAGGGAATATTATTTGACCATAACAAGGAGGGAAGTACTGAAATCTACTACAGCAAGGATGAGCCTGGAAAACGTGATGCAGACTGAAAGAAACCAGACACAAAAGGTCACATGTTGTATGATTGCATTTATCTGAAATGTCCAGAACAGGTAAATCCATAGACATGGAAAATAGATTAATGGTTTCCAGGGGCTTGGGGAGGGGCAAGGTAGTGATCACTTAATGGGTACGGGGTCCGTTTTGGGGGTGATGAAGTGTTTTGGAACCGGATAGAGGTGATGACAACACGGTGACTGTA